GTATCTATTTTCAGGTGTATTTATGTAGTATTATTTTAAATGTTAAAAAATTTAATTATATTATGGAACCGAACTGAACCCGAACGGTTCCAAAATTATATTTGGAACCGACGGTTCCATTTACTAAATACTCGAAAATTTTTGGAACCGAAAAAAATCGAACCGAACCGAACCGACCCGCGTCCACCCCTAATTTTAGGTGTGGGGATCTGAAACTTCATTCATCACAGCATGCAAGTTGATAAGAAGAAGAAGAAGAAGAAGAAAAAGAAGATGATGATGATGATGAGAATGTCACTGTAAATTTTGTAGGAAAAATATTTAAAGACTTCTCTGATTGGGGGATAGATGAATTTAAGAACATTTACGGATGGTTAATTAAAAAATGTAGTTAGAAAATATAGTGTTGATTTAAGAATGAGGAATTATTGCAAGGGTACAACTCAATAATTAGTATGTTCTTAAAACTAGAGCCGCCTTGTAGTAAATTTATGCTGCTGTATACACAATTATACATGCGCGTCTGTACACTTCTGGCAACACTTTCGAGTGTTTGCTCGTCGTGAAGTTTATGCTGATAGAAGCCACCTCTGGGGTTCTTCGCATTTGGATTCAAATTCTATTTTCCTAAAACAAAGGTTCATCCTATTAAGAGAAACCCCTTTAATAAAATAAACACGCATTCTTGTTCTGTCAAACGAAGAGAAGTTTTTAACCGGTTATGTTTCATGATTTTTGCAATTTCAAGAAATGACTTTAAATTTCGACCTGTCGTCATATATGAAATAATGGATGATATAAATAACTTTCTTAACACCTTGATTGTTTATAGGAAAATTCATACGGAATCTTGATTAATTGGATACCACGACCCTCTCTGATACAGTTACTTGCCTTACTATTTACAACTCAAAATGAGCTTTGCGACAAGAAGCGGACATTTTCCATGTTGGGGGTGGAAAATAGTCAATGGTATTAAAGATAAGAAAAATAAGTTAAAAATTATATTTATTACAAGAGAAATGAATTACTAAGCACCGTTGCTTAGTTACGCTAAGCAACAATGACACAATAATAAATTCATTGGTGAATAAGTTTATGATATGTCTCAAAAATTAAATAATCTACCTATTAATTCATGTATAGTAACGGTGCTAAGTAAATCATTTCTCGGTGTACAGTTATATACAGTATAGTGTACTAAATCCGTATACGTTATTAAACCGAATATGTACTCTGTGTAATTTTGTGTGTGTGTGTCATGTTATCTAGTGGTTTTTGTGGAAACCCACATAATTTTGTTATTACAGTGCATGATTTAAGAATCAGATTTGTTGTTGAATAACAGTGACGTAAATTTAATTGGAATTTCTGAAAAGTTGTTGACGAAATTAATAGATCAAGTATATGATAGGGCCCACGTGACGTAACGAATATCTATACACAGACATTGATTCTTCTACCATCTATTAATGATACTATACTATGCAATAAATATGGTCTGTCTTAAAACTGCCTTATTGGATAGGGAGGTACTATAGTACCCATTAGAAGGGTTACATAAGAAATGACAACAAAGTAGAGACGGTATTGATTGAAGATATATTACGACGTAAACTCGAGAAATATTTATCATTCATAACCTCAATTCGTCGAAGTTGCTAAAATTCTAGTTGATACTTGATAGAAATGACGGAAGGAAAAAACTTCGGGTATATAACCTCAATTCCTTTCGATTAGGTTAGCAATTTCGAGCAAAATATATACGTACTAATTCTAGTTGTATTGAGGAGTGGGCTCGAAATTATAATTGAATTCACATGTTCTTGAGAAATATTTTTGACAAGAAAGAAAACGATATTTGTTTAACTCGAGGATAGTAATGTTGTCTGTTACAAATTGTTTGTAACGAGAAAATAAAGAAATATAAAGTAACCAATGAACATCCAAAGACAAATAATAAATTTGTACAAAATAATTTCCTTCATCCACATTTTTTGACTTTTGGAAGTGCAAAAAATTCAATTACTCCAGCAAATTGCGACAAATTGTTGGCGAAACAAAAAAGGGTATACAGTCACTCCATCCAATTAAATGCCTATCCAACGTAGCAAAATGTTCGAGCAAATAGGCAATCATATTCACCTTTCGAGGAATGAAATGACACATTTTATTCATCTGTTACTCGAATATAAATACAAGATATTCAATTTTTTTTCCTAAGATTTAGCAGTACTAATCAGTTTATCCTCCACTAATAACAAAATGCAACTAAATAAAACAATTTAGACTAAATCGAAAATAAACAAAACATAAAATAAAATACAATTAATAACTAGACACCAAACATTGTACTATCACTTCTTGAGTATATAAAATTTCTCTTAGCCTTTGTTTGGTACACGTTCTTTATAACTCATTTTTTTTTTTCAAAAGTCATTTTCAACTACACATTCTTCCAATAAAATAAATTTACACGAAAACCTGTAGGAGCTGTTTTCTTTACCGTTTTCATCCCATTTTCTGTTTTCGATTTTCCAAAACAGTGAAAATACGTTTACTTACTTATTTTCAAAAACGAATTTTCGAAAGCGAGTTTAAAATTTACAAAGAAAGCTGAAAAAGACAAAAATGTTGTTTTGGATGTTTTCAGTTAAAATCAAGCCAAAATTTTCAAAACGCGTTTCGGGTGTTTTCAAAATTCTAC